CGCTTAATTCAATATTATACAGAGGACCAACTTTTTAATGATTATATATATATATATGAGTGTGTGTTAAAGATTTATTTTGGTGAAAAAGAAAATAAATCTTTAACACAAATATAGTTTACTGTTTTGTTAATAGGCGCCTTGTTGTCATCATTATAGGCTGTTTTAGGTTATGATCACGACTTCTAAAATGTCACATAAAGACGTTTCAGAGGTCAGCCTGCCGAAATAAAGGCGTTGCATCGATCAAAGTACAATCTTTTTAGTCTGACAACATTTGTAACTTATGTTTAGTACGTTTTGATTTCTACGTATTTCATTTAATGTATTTAGAATACTGTTACGCCTCCTTTCGTTAGTTAATTTTCCGTATAATTTCTTTCCGAAGAAACTTTAGCGATACAAGTCCTTTCTTAAATGAAACTGGTTTATTCTTTCTAAATACAACTTTGCAATACACTTAATTTCCACAGTCACGCTATAACAAACGCTATAATTCACAACGAACGTCTCACGTGCTCGACTCAACAATACTCTCTCTCTCTGTCAGCAGTTCAATTACACATTGTTGCCGTCAGTTCTTGGAGGCTTATATACAAGAGAATACCGAAAACTAGTAAACGCTCGAGCATTCACGAACCTTCGAGAATATGACGTGTTACTAGTGTCACGTGACCCCCGCTGTCGTAACAATACTTTTGCCTCGAACGATGGATTAATCTGGAAAGTCGAATGATAATTATCTTACCGAATATAACGCATAGAATTGGGAAAATTTGAGCCAACATATTTCGGTAAAAAACACTTGGCAGTTAAGAAGAAAGGGGATGTTGATTCATTTCTTCAAATTTTAATTCAAGGTTGTTTTTATAAGTTGAAATGTGTCCTTTTGTGTAGCTTTGGAGACAACATTCTCTCACATCTGCCAACAAATACGAGAAAGAAAACGTGACGGGTTAGTCTTCAACAATTATGATGACATAAAAAAGTTCGTTCATAATAGATGCGCCTGTCGTGTTAGTAATTAAATTTGAGGTTCTACTGTACACGAATAACACTGTAGGTATTGTTATTTCTCATTACATTGGTCATTATAAACATTACGCTACGCTAGAAGGTTTTTAATTTCCATGATAATACGTTGCAATACATTTTCTGTAATTGATTAACTCCATACAAATCACGAAATTGATTATGAAATCAAAAAAAAATTAAAGTTATTTGTGTGTCATAATCGTTAAGACATATAACCGGAAGAATTATTGGTACATAAAGACGTTTTCTTAATACATATATCACTGCCTATAGGTATATATATATATACCATCACAGCACAGTAATGTAACATAATTTGTCTTCAAATTATAAATGTGATATGTGGTTTTATAACAGTCTTATTATTTATTATATGTGTATTTCAGCATTAATAGGGTAGTGTTAAACTGAAATTAGAAAGGCGGTATGTAAGCCAAGTATGATATTAATAATAAATATAAAAAAAAATACATACAGATGTTCTCTAAAGGGTTATCTCAAACAGTTGGTTGCATTTATACTAAACACTGTCAAGAAGCTTTTCTCTGAGAATAATAAACTAATTTTTTTGTTACAAAAACTTTTCTGACTCAGAATACGTTTTAAAGCAACATAAGGTGTGTTTTAAACACAATTACATAAACATTAAACCAAGGCCGTAAAGACTTACGAAACCCGTCAAGAAATATAATATAAAGCGGTACTTATTATAACGATTAAGAGGTCTGGGTTTTTTTGTTTTTCGAAAATAATTTTAACCTGGTTTCAAAATTATTTTTAATTTAGTGTTTATATGTTAACAACAATTTCAGTATTTATTTTTCACTGTTTATAACATACAGCTCCTTCATATTGACAATATTTCCATGTAGGTTTTATATTTCTTTACGTTGTTCGTTTCTTTTTTACATTATAGATTCGGGCCAGGTGGTTAGGGCACTCGACCCGCAATATGAGGGTCGCGGGTTCGAATCCCCGTCACACCAAACATGCACGCCCTTTCAGCCATGGGGGGTGTTATAATGTGACGGTCAATCGCACTATTCGTTGGTAGAAGAGTAGCCCAAGAGTTGGCGGTGGGTGGTGATGACTAGCTGCCTCCCCTCTAGTCTTACACTGCAAAATTAGGGACGGCTAGCGCAGATAGCCCTCGTGTAGCTTTGCGCGATATTCAAACCAAACCATTATAGATTCACACTGTTATAATGAAAGCATCGTAACTTACAGTTTGAAAGCTCAAAATGTTTAAATTTTATCTGTACAGTTATGAGTAATATTATTTAAAATACTTCTTTGTTTGTTACGAATTTCGCGCAAAGCTACACGAGGGCTATATGCGCTAGCCGACCCTAATTTAACAGTGTAAGACTAGATGGAAGGCAGCTAGTAATCACCACCCACCGCCAACTCTTGGGCTACTCTTTTCCCAACGAATAGTGGGAATGACTGTAACATTATAACACCCTCACGACTTAAAGGGCGAGCATGTTTGGTGTGATGGGAATTCGAACCCTCAGATTGCGAGTCGAACGCCCTAACCACCTGGCCATGCCGGACCAATTTAAAATATAATATTGAAATACTAGTAAGTAAATTCATAATAGCGTATTGTAGAGACTGCTGATATGGGTTTTAATAACTTTATTTTAATTAAAGTTTTTAATACCCCTACCAGTCGTCTTTGCAATATATTTCTACTTCAAGTGGGTTTCTCGTCATCATGAAATTCATAATAGATTTCATTTAAATTTAGTAAAAATAACACGTGTAATGCCTAGTATTTATTTCTCTTTTTTTTTTTTGTGAATGAAATAAATAGAAATTCTATCAAATTGTTTATTTTTTAATTGAAAGAAGTAAGTCTACATATATAGCATCCAATATTGAGCACATAAAGCTGGTGCTACTATAGCGTGCGGTCTATCGTAGTATCCGTAGTCTACCGAGACTTTTTACACTATAAACAAAGCGTATAAAAGATGTTGAATAA